TGCTATAAAGGAAGTTATTGGGACAACGGGCAAAATTGAAATGGGGTCCGGGGTTTCCAGGGTGTGATGTGTCCGTGTTAATTTCCTGATTTTGATGGTTGTCCTGTGATTACATTGGAGAGTGTCTTTGTTTTTGGAAATACTAAAGTCTTGGGGGTGGTGGAGCATCCAGCAAGCAACTCAATCTCAAATGATTAAGAGAAAAAGATGTCTTCTTTATGAACTTAGAATTTTTTTCCAAAATGAAGGTTTTGGAGTAAAACTTCAAGGATCCAAATCTCCACTTTGCTGCTTCCTGAATGTGGGACCTGGGGCAGGTTCCATCACCTCTCTGCACCTCAGTTCTCCCACCTGTAAAATGGGAATAACAGTGGTACTGCTCTAAAAGGGTTATTTTTAGGACAAAAAAAAAAAACAAAAAGGCTAACTAATACATGTAAAGTTCCTGGTATAGTAAGAGCTTCATAAATGGTTGTGGCTATTTTCACTGAAAAGACCCAGTCTTATTCCTCTGCATGGGAGGCCTCTCAGCCTCAAAGATGAGTAGATTTTCAGGATTTCTGGGCTCAAATGCCCAACCTCAGGAAAAGCAAGGAAAGAGGTGGCCAGAAGTTTAGATTCAGGATCTCATATCCACCCTGGTCTCTCATCACTGCCCAGAAAAACCCTTGCTTTGGGACTCGGGGACGTCCAGGCCCGTGTCTAGATTCCCAATGAGGTACTCAGACATGTAGCCTTCCCAGAAGGGTTGCTAGGCAACACGGCTCCTGAGCAGGAGCCTGGAAGGGCCCTCGGACACTCATTAGTCCATCCCTCTTTTTTCACAGATGAGGCAATGTGCCCAGGGCCACACAGTGAGTTTATAGACAGAGCCAGGCCTGGAACCCAGGAGTCAGACTTCCAAACCAGTGCTTCCTCTGCTGTACCATGCATGGGGCACCCACACCATTTCTCTCTACTTATTTGACCTAATACTTATAGAGTGATTCCTGTCTATTCAGAGTCACAAAGACAAACCATACATCATCTCTTAGATTCCTTAACCTTCTGAGGTAGTTTCTATTACCCCCTGAATTCACACGCCTAATCACCCCTTTATGTGGCCTATGCCATACAGCACTGTTTCCATATTGCCTTCAAAAGATCTGGGGGGAAAATCCTCGCCTAGTTACAACTTTAAATAGTTTGGTACCATAGAAACAATCAGTAAGTGGCATTTCAAAGCTGAGATATTTAAAGTCTAGCACAAGTACCTTTTCTAGGACAGTGACATTATACAGTTGCACATGGCTTATTCTTATTTTGAATTCTGTCACAAAAATATACCCTGAACTTGGCAGAATTGAAAATCCAGATCAGCTGAGATTAGCAGATCTGGTTTCCCTTTAAATGTTTCTTACAGATGGTTTCTACCCTACTTATCTTTCAAGAATTTGCGAACACTCTATCCTTATATAGAAAAGCTGGGACATGAAGTTCCGTGGGCCTGGGGAATTATCTGTAAAGCACGCATCCTCTAAAGCACACAGGTGAGGTGAGGAACCACAGCCTTCATCACTCATTTATTTATTGATTCATTCATTCAGTCATTCATTAACAAATATTTTATGGGTTCCTATGTATTATATCTATGGCAATGTAACAGTTAACTCCAAACTTAGTGGCTTGAAATGACAGTGAACAGTATCTCATATGATTTCTTTGGGTAGGAATTCAAGAGTGGCTTAGCTAGCTGGTTCTGACTTGGGGTCTCTCTTGGGGTTGCAGTCAAGACCTTAGCTGGGACTGTCATCATCTGCAGGCTTGACCGGGGCTGGATGATCCATGTCCAAGGTGTTTCACTCACACAGCTGGAAGCCTGGTGCTGCCTGTCGGCAGGAGGCCTCAGTTCCTTGCCACGTGAACCTCGACACAGGGCTGCTGAGTGTCCTCGTGACACGGTGACTGGCCCCCTCGAGAGTGAGTGACTCAAGAGAGAACAAGGCTGAAGCCACAAGGTCTGTGCTCTAGTCTCGGAAGTCACACACTCTCATTTCCCTGAATATCTTACTGGCTGCATGGTCAGCCCTATTTAGGGTTGCCAGATTTAGCAAATAAAAATAGAAGATGCCCAGTTAAATTTGAATTTCAGTCAACAACGAATAAGTTTTTAGTACAAATATGTCCCATGAAATACTGTCAAATACTAAAAAGTTCGTCATTGCTTTATCCGAAATTCAAGTTTAACCATCCATCCTGTATTAAACTGGAATCCTGTCCCCATTCAGTGTGGAAAGGGACAACATACAAAAGGAGCATGATACCAGGAGGCGAGCATCACTGTGGGCCATTTTGGAAGCTGGCTCCCCCATGCCCTGATACGCTACATATGAAATGAGGATAAATGGGGAGCAATTAAAAATAACTGTCGCTTCACTCCTGCAGTTTACAGTCTCATAAGACCAACTTGAATCAAATCACCAGGCCAATAAATGCAAAACCCTGACTTTGATAAAGTGCTTCAGAGAGAAGTAGTTGGAGCTTGGGACAAGGATGGCTCCTCATCAGAACAGTCATGTTTATTGGTTTTATAGATTGAACTTTTATATGTGATTTTGTCTGTGTGGGAGAGGGTATATGGAAGGTTTTGCCACTAAAAAAAGGTAACAAAACCCTGAAAATACACACCCCCACACACAAACACATGCCAAAAATGGTGAAAACTGAATAAGGTCTGTGGTCTAGTCAGCAGCACTGGACTAACGTCGATTTCTGGGTTTTGATATTGCACTGCAGTTGTATAAGATGTGAGCCTTGGGGGAAACCGCACGAAGGGCACGTGGGATTCTTTGTATTACTTGTGCAACTTCATGAGTCTATAATTATTTCAAAATAAAAAGTTAATCAACAACCCATTTAGAACACCAGCTGTTACAATGGAACAGGGTCAGATGAGAATAATCCAGACTTGTGAAGGCTCTAAGTTGGAGTAGGGCCAGGTGGTGAAGAGCACACCCTGGTGGGTGGGGCTGGGTCTCGCACCTGAAGGAATGGAATTCTCAATGTTAATGATCCTGAAACATGTTCCTTTACGACAGAGGAGGAGGATGGGGGGTGGGGGGTGGCTAAGAGAGGTCCTCCTGGTTCTAGGCCCAGATTTGGGGCTTGGGGTGACCTGGAGTAGCTCCATCAGTGGCAAGAACCTTCGCTGGTCCCAAGGCAGAGGCTGGGGAAACCCCCCAAGAAGCCTGAGGTTTTTGAGACCTAGCCTTTGGGGGGCCTCGAATCATCCGAATTTAAATAGTAAAGGAAAGGTATGTCTTTATTTTGTACCCTAACTGAAGAAAGGGAACATGTGATGACTTCACGTTATTTGACGACCTGCAGATGAGGCTGATAAATTGGTTTTCCAAAGACGACCACAGCAATCTCTCTCACCCCACGTGCTCTCCTGCTTTGTGACCGTGCCACTCCACCATCATGAGGACGAGTCTGTCTCTCCACTCCCTTGAATGTAGGAGGGCCCTCTGACTACTTTGACAATCTCAGCGGAAGTGACACTGCAGGACTTTCAGGCACGTCACTTAACCAACACAGTTCCGCTGCTTCCTGCCTCTTGCAACGCTTGCTCTGGGAAGCCAGCCGTCATATAAGAAGTCTGACTACTCTGCGACCGCCATGCTGTGAGGAAGCCCAGGCTAGTCACGTGGACAGGCTACATGATAGGGATGCCCAGTAAAAGCCTCTAGATGCTCCCCCCGGCCCAGCCCAGGCACCAGACATGAGGAGGAAGATGCCTTCAGATGACCGAAGTCCCAGCCACCATCGGACCGCTCACTCTAGTTAACAACAAATTGTTTTAAGTCTCTAAGTTTTGGGCTGGTTGGATACGCAACAGTGGATGAGAGGATCAACGAATGAGGCCGGACGTCCTCTGCTACCCCGTGAGTGGTGACGTGAGCCTCCTGTGTTCACAGCTCCATCCACTGTCCGTCCCACTGCAGTCTCGGGACAAGAAGGGACATGAACTGCCTCGTGCTGGGGGCTCATCACACACCAGGCACCAGTGCCCGCGTCACCCATCAGCCCCTCCCAATAAGCCCGTGAAGTTCGAACTTTCTCATTTTACAGACGAAGAAACGAAGGCTCAAGCCACACAGCTGGGAAGTCAGCCTGCTTCCAAAAATCCATGCCCCAAACCACTCTGAGTCGCTGCCTTCCCAAAGCCTCACTATTATCAGGAGCTGTAAGGCAAGGGAGCGTGGGTGAAACACCGTAACCTTTAAAGATGCGAAACCGTTCTGGGCCCAGTCGATCCCTCAGCATGTGGGGGCTGTGCAGTAAGGGGTTAACTCAGTGGCTTGGAGAGTTCCGACCCTGCACCTGCCAGAGAGAAGACTGGCCCTTAACCAACTCCTGGGAGATGACCTCTACACCCTTGGTGTATCCTGTCTAATAGGAGCATCTTTGTCTACCTGGGACCCTGGGCCACAGCAGGCCAGATAGTCAGTGGTAACAATGTGATTTATGGGGGCCCTCAGGTCACGCTGTATTATTTGACCTTAGTCACTAAGGTCAGTCATGTGGTTGCCTCATGCCTACGAGACTGATGCCTCATAAAAAATGCTGGACACCAACGCGCAGGTGCACTTTCCTGGCTGGCAGCACTTCATATATATTGTCGCACATCATTGCTGGGAGAATTAAGCACGTCCATAAGACTCCACCAGGAGAGGGCAACTGAAGCTCGCTCCTGGTCTTGCCTGGACTCTGCCCTATGCACCTTTTTCCTTTGCTGATTTGAATCTGCATTCTTTTGCTGTAATAAACTATAACCAGGAATCTAACAGGTTTTCTAAGTTCTGTGAGTCCTTCTAGCAAATCACTGAACCAGAGGATGGCCTTGGGGACTCGTGACACAGGAGCTCAGCTGTGCCTTGCACAGATCTATTCTCTAGACTTTGCTCGCCATCAGTCCACCTGACCAAATTCAATATGGAAAAAAAAAATCTATTCAGTCTGTAAAGCAAGGCACAGACAAATGAGTCTCTGTTCACTTTATTCAAATAATAGTTTTTTTTTCTCTTTGAAACTGGGTAGAACTGAGGAGGAATCAAAGAAAGCCTCATATATTAAATTCTTAAATAGATTCTTTGAATTCAAAGTAAGGGTCAATAGGAAAGGCACAGGTGGTGGGCCTTGTCCCAGCAAACAAAGCCACCCGGGCGGTCCAGCAGATTAAGGAGGATGGTAAATCTGCTTCTTGAAAAAAAGTTCTCGAGGGGCAAAATATAAAATACCGAAGTTTCAAAAGCTGGGCTACTTCCACGCTCTTCCGTCTCTATCCTGGAGTGTCCAAGATAGAGCGTCTCAAGGTAAGTTTTCAACAATTCAGCCTTTGCAAAGATATGCAAATACATTCCTCATCAGCAGTCCTGTTTGGGCGATTAATAGCAAGCAATATGCTTGGAGTAGAGGTCCGATTTCCACTCTAATGCAAAGTCTCTTCTCCTCTTGGCAACAAAGCCATTTGCAGAGATCTGAAAGGAAAGAAGGCTGCGTTAGGCCCAGAGTAGCAATGCTGAAATAGATCTTTTATATTTATACGTGTGATTGCAGAATGGATGGGCTGCACACATTCGCACAAGCAAGTGAGCTTTTCTATCCGCCTCGCAGATGGCCAGAGAGAATTTAAATTTAAAAACGTTTTTTGGGTTCTTCCCCACATCTCAACCTGTATCCACTTGACCTCAAAGATACTTTTCTTATTTCTGAAGAGCAAATGGCAATGATTATGTGATAAATGCCAATGGATGTTTGGAGGCAAGGGCAGGATTAGCGTTTGTTCCAGGCACTTCTATACCAGGGATTAGCTAAAGCGCCCTGTATAAAGTGTCTCATTTAAAGAGTAAAGCGAGGAATCTATGTGGCTTTTGTCAACGAGAAGGTTCGAGATTCTACTACTAATGAATCTGCAGAAAGAGAACGAGGGAACAGAGTGAGAAACATGGAGAAAGACTGTCTTCCATGTGAGGTTCTTTTCTTTGGAATTAAATAGAACTCCGGGATTAGCACAATTCAAGAGGGGAACCCTGATAATGACAGGACTGGGTGTCTCCAGCCTTGCAGGTTGGTGCAAAGTGGATTTAAAGAGAAACTGAAAAATACGCTGATTATTTAAAAATATGAAAAGGAGGCTAAAAACAGAGTCCAGGCTCGAAGCTCTTGCACAGTCTAAAAGAATAGGGAAATACCCATGCAAGCCGGTTGTGACCTCTCTGAGTGCCCCAAGTTCCCCTGAGCCTGGTCAGAGAGGCTGGGGACATATGGAAGTGAGCTCACCCACTGGAGCCCAAACTCCAGCGCCCTAACATCGATGAACCCCCATTCTCCAGCAAATGGAGGCCGGAGAAGTCAAGTTCAGAACCCGGTCCCCTACCCTTTAGCAAAATACGGATGGACAAATATGCACTTAAAATCGTTCAGGGAAAGCAAACTCTGGGCGAGACGGCTGTTGGGAGAATTCTGCCATTTGGTAGCTATGTGGCCTTGGGCAAGGCAATGCCCTTCTCTGGGCTTTGGTTTTCTCCTCCAAAAACAGGACAATCGTGTCACTTGTCTCCCAGGGATGCTGAGGGTTAAATGAGTAACACATAAGGAGTAAGTATTTGGCCCAGTGCTGTGGGGGTTATTCTTAGACCAGAACTGCTTATGACTATTATTAGAACATTAATTGCCTTGGGCCAAACCTGATGCTGTTTATAGAAACCAAACTGGCAGACAGCATTCTGTGCAAAAATGGTTCTAGAATCCCCCCATCATGCTGGTCCTCTCTGTCCCCTCCCCAAGGTCAGACAAACCTTTTTCTGGTGGGTTCTGCATTGATCCCTGCCCCCACCCCTGATGCAGAGCTGGGAGACTAAGCCTTGATTCTATAAATAGCTCCCCCAGCCTGTCACCATGGAAACCTCCCGATGGGGCTGGGACAGCCCACCTTGGTGGACACTTGTCCCCAGGGAGGCTCTGGAAGGACAAGCTTTTCAGAAAAGTGGCTCCTGGGCTCAGAAGTGGCTGGACCCCCCACCGAAGTCTGCAGGCCTACCTGGAAATCATGAGCTTCCCAAGTGGGAGGAGGTGCTGTTCTGGTTCACCTGGAGGAAGACAACACAGAGGAAGGGGTCACAGCCAGGTGGGGATGCCAGGGTCTCGCCGCCCTGAGGTTCACCTCTCAGCGTCACTGAGTCAGGCACACACTCACTCGTGGCATATTTACTGCACACCTACTATGTGCCAGGTGCTGGGAATACTGTGAACACGACAGACCCAGTCCTGTCTTCATGCAGCTTACATTCGAGCGTGGAGAGAGCCTGTTACACAAACACATACGCAAGATAATGTCCGGGCGATACAGTGGGCTGATATGAGGGACTGGTGTTGGGGCTCCTTCAGATAGGGTGGCTAGGAAAAGGCCACTACATGTGGATGACATTTAAGCTGTGGTGTAATGAACAATAAACATTTGATCCTTGTCCTGGGTTCCTGGCACACAGCAACTCAAACTCTTGGAATCTCCAGAGTGGTAACAAGCATCTGTTGTATGCTAATAAGATGACTGATGGCTGAGGTCCCTAGAGAGCTTCAGGACCGGGGCTGGTCCCCAGAAAGACCAAGGCATGATTAAAGAGTTGGAAATTTCAGCCCAACCCCACAACCTCTGGGGTGGGGAGAGGGGCTGGAGATTGAGTTAATAACAAATGGTCAATGATTTAATCAATCACGCCTGCTTAATGAAACCTCCATAAAAATCCCTAAATGACAGGGTTCACAGAGCTTCTGGATTGGTGAACACATCGAGGTGCTGGAGGGTGGTGCACCCAGAGAGGGCGTGGAAACTCCGCACCCCGTCCCCCATACCTTGCCCTATGCATCTCTTCCATTTGGCTGTTCCTGAGTTGTAACCTTTATAATAAACCAGTAATCTAGGAAGTCAAGTGTTTTCCTGAGTCCTGTGAGTTGTTCCAGAGAACCTCAGCGGGGGGCGGTCATGGGAGCCCCCTGGCTGGGCAGGAGTGTGAGTCGCCTGGCATCCCATTGAGGCTGGCATCTGAAGTGAGGGGAGAGTCTTGGGGGACTGAGCCCTTAACGTGCAGGGTCTGACACTCTCTCCGGGAGTCAGCGTCAGAACAGAATTGAATTATTCAACACCCAGTCAGTGTCCAGAGAATCAGAGAATTGGTTGTCGGTGTTGGAAAACACCCCATAAGCAAAGCTCTAGAAGATGAAAACCAGGCCAGCCACGCAAAGATCTGGGTGGAAAAGCATTCCTGGCAGAGGGAACAGCAAAGACCTGGAAGGGGGAGGGGGTCTGGGGCCAGGGAAGTGAGTATACATTTTTGCATTTGTTGCAATTCTAACGTGTGAGCTGCTCCGTTTTGCTTGCTTAGTTATGGTAATCACGATTACCATTTTGGGTGGCCACACAGTGTTCTGTAGAATGCATGTGCCACCGCTTACTTCACTGTTCCCTAGGAATGGGTGAAGTCACGTGCACAGTGGAGGAGAGCAGAGGAGAGGAGGGCGGAAAGTAGAGGTTTGACCCAATTTGCAGGGCCGCTCTCCCGAGGGTGGGAGTGTTCGTGGCGACAGAGCATATGCCGTGTCTTCATATTTTGCTCCTAACAGCGCAAAAAAACAGTCCCAGGTCAGCTAGATATCTTGTACATGGCATACGCTGCAGGGGAGCGTAAACTGGCCCAACTCTTATAAAACAATTTCAGCCTCGTAGTTCAAGAGTCTTAAAAAGGTCTAGACCTTTCCGCCCACTGATTCCACTCCCTAAAAATGTATTTGAAGGGAAGGATTCTATGCAGCTCCCCTACCCCTCACCCCACAGGAGAGAGGCAAAATCAGGATGATGTGCATACGACATTATTTGGGATATAGCAAAAATCGGGGACGACGTTAGGGCAGCAGTTAAGTAACTGGTGGTATATAATGCATTCTAGAAAATATGACGTAGCCATCCAAAATGGCGATAATGAAACTCAAAAGATGGAAAAATATCAAGAAAGCAAAACCAAGCAGCTCACACTGCAACGGATGCAAAAATGTATACTCAGGTGGGCAAGAAAGGATAACATGCAAAAATGAAGAGTTTCGGATTGTGGCTGCTTCCCCTCACCCCCGCTTCCGTTGGTTGTTCTCGTGACATCATCTTTTTGGTTAAAACAAATAAGAAATGAGTGCTGACTAATTCCAGCAATATTTTTTTCACGGTGGCAAGAGATGGGTCTCTGATTCCCACAAAGGGAGCGTGGACCCCTCCCCAAAGAACTGACATACGCGCAAAAGCTGTGGTCCCCAGGCAATCAGACTTCACGAATGTGATAACTAAACTGGGCACTGGCACAGGGTGGCCCACCCTTATTTGCCAAATTAAATGAAACACACATACAAACTGAAACTACTAATTTTAGCACTACCACGTCATTTAAAAGGGGGCACTTTAAGACCAAAAGGAGGACGGCTACAATGTCGGTCAAGGGGCAGTCCTTGATATGATACGTGGACCACCTCCCACGGACAGACCCAGGATGGGCGTGGGGATCCAGGAGCGTATGTACGCCTACATTGCACATAGGCCCTCACCAGATGACCCTCATGTGTCTCATTTTTCGGTAAACTGATGAAAATTTTGTGCTGGGTTGTGGTTGCGAACGGCCATTTGAAATAAACCTAAACTTAAGGCTAGAGACAGAAAGCTTGATAGAAAGTCCCCACCAAGTCCCTCCAACTGCTATCAAGCTGGGAGATGAGGTGAAGGAAGGGGCTCAGGCAGAAGGACTGCTGAGACTTGGCCCCGGCTGGATCAGACACTTAGAGAGCCTCTGGCCCAACTCTAACCCCCACCCAATTTTCTGATGGGGAAACTATCAGCCACATTAGAGACGTGATGTGTCCAAGTGTCCAAGCTAGTGGTACAGCCAGATACACAGACTTCAGAATTCCCCTTGGGGTTTCTAACCTGAAAATATCCTTTCAGATTGGCTGGTGTTTTATAGTCCCCTTTCAAGACCTAGGAAAGAAAAACATAAATATTACTATCATGGAAATGATTAAAAAATAAAATTTAGTCCATCATCTCCATATCCTTCCACCCTCCCATCCACCCATTCATCCACTAACCCATCCACCCATCTGCTCATCCTTCCATCCATCCACTCATCTACCCACCCATCCATTCATCTATCCCCTCACCCATCCACTCACCCATCCATCCCCTCATCCATCCGTCCATCTATCCACCCATCCACCCACCCATCCACCTACCTACCTACCTATCCATTTATCTGTCCACCCACCCACCCACACACCCATCCATCCATCAATCCATCCATCCATCCATCCATCCATCCATCCATCCACCCACCCAGCCACCCACCCATCCGTCCATCCATCCATCCAACAAACATTTATGGAGCTCTTCTTATTCCAGGCATTGTTCTAAGCTCCAGGGGTACAACATTAACCAGACAATTAAAATTCCTGTTCTCCTGGGGCTTCCATTCTAGAGGGGGAGCCAGAAACGATCCACAAGTAATAATAAACACAAACAAGAACATATCAAACCACGGGCAGTGCTACGAAGAACGTAAAACAAAGGGATGTGATTAGGAGTGACCAAAGGAATTCTTTGGATGGGTGGTCAAAAAGGGCCTCTTGCAACAGGTGACCTTTGGGCTGAGACCTCAATGACAGGGAAAACCAGCCAGGCCAAGGTTGGAAGGAGAAGCATTCCGGGCAGAGGACACAGCTAGGGCAAAGGCCCTGAGGTGGGAACCAGAAAATTCCAGGCCTTTCCTCTTGATAGATAAAGCACCTCTAGACCAGCGCTGTCCAATAAAAGATAATGTGAACCAACTAAGTAATTTTAAGTTTCCTAGCAGCTACATTAAAAAAAAAGTGAATCAGGTGAAATTAATTCCAGTAATAGCTATTACTTAATTTTTTAAAAATTATTTTATTTTATTTAACTTGATATATCAAAAATATTAATACTTTGACATGTAATCAATATAAAAACAATTAATGAGAAACTTTATAGATTTTTTTTTGTACTAGGACTTCAAAATCCAGCATGTAGTTTACATGGATGGCACGTCTCAATTTGGACTCGTCACATTTCAACGGCCACAGAAAGTTAGTGGCTCGTGGCTGTAATGGACAGTGCAGGTGTAGACAATTTCATTAGCAATGGGGTCCTTTCAGTCACTGAGCCTACTGCACCCCAGGATCCACTACAGGAACACACGGTGTCTACAATATACACAGAAACACACACACGCACACACACACTCACACACGGCTTTCAACGAGGGGACTTATCTTTGTTCTAATAACAAAACTACTGTCAAGACTAAACAAGCATCTGGCACTTGCCAAGATCTGAGGAAGCCCCAGGGAGCAAACCTCTTTGGAAGAAAACGACAGACATCTTCCATTTTAAACAAACAACAGAGCTCCGAAGAGCTGATTTTAACCATCAGTGCTCATCAGAAGTTTTAATTGTTTATACAATACACAAGGTCAGGCCTTCCTCTGGGAGCTTCTGACCCCAGTCTGGGGGCAAGCCAGCCTTTTTTTTTAATAATTTTATTTATTTATTTTTTCTCCCCAAAGCCCCAGTAGATAGTTGTATGTCATAGCTGCACATCCTTCTAGTTGCTGTATGTGGGACG